CACCAGGAGCTGCTCCAGAGATCTGAGCACAGAAAAACAAGCCATGTCAGCACACAGACTTTGTTGTCATCATCTATGCTAACAAAATACTGCACCAGTGCACAAACTCTTTAAGGGCCTTTACCTTTGACCCATCAATTGTACCTGACTGTCAGCCAACGACCACTGGCATACACACTTTGCTATCAGCGGCTCAGCTCTGAACCTTGAACCTTATGTGTTCAACATTATGAATATCTTTGACTCAGCTTAGAGTAATGATCACACAGTTATCTCTGAATGGTGTGTGTAGCTCATTTACTATTATACAGTGAGATAAGTTGCTCAATGCTGCACAGATTTGTTGACACTTCCTTAAAAAAGCAAAATCTTTACATTTAGTTGCTATAAAAGGTCAATTTCTTAACAAAGGTGTCTCAAATTGAACCATAAAGTATCAAGGTGCAAAATCAACTGCCCCCTTTTTCTTTATTTCTTAGATTAAATGCAACTTTGAGCAGTTTTTCAAACATTTTAATTCAGTAAAGTTACATTACATGTCACAGACATTGCACTATATAAGTATATTTAGCCTACAAAGATAAACAAAAAACACGTACTGTCTGCGATTTTGTAAAAAATAAGTAAAGATAAATAAAAAATAAATGCATAAATGTTTACCAAGTTCAACAAGTGATGAGAAGCACATTTATTTCACACATTCTTGAGAATTGGGAGAAAACCTTGTTTTTTCTTTAGGTTTTGTTTTTAACTCTAATTAGGCTGGGAAAATCTAAAAGATCAAAGTCTTAAACCTTGTATTGGACTTACCTCCATCTGATGAAATTTATTCTTAAAGAGCATACATACTGGATGTCAGAGGTCAGAAAGTTACATATTTAGTCATTTCACAGTCGAAGTGAGTCGCCATTTGTTTTTCAGAGTTGCTGACAATTCTCTTAATGTCATTCAAACTACTTTAACTACTTTTAAACCATCATTTTTATTTAGTTTAATTTAGTAGTTCTACTGAGTTGTCCTGTTATGGTTGAGTTGGACCTGATAGCTTTATTATTTAATACATTTATCAGCAGCATTCCTGCCTTTTTGGAAACCAAGGAAACTAACTTAACTAAACTATATTTTCCTTGTTGGAAACCAGGAAGTGAGACAGGAGTCCTTGGGTTACAGCTAACCTCCTTTATGACTGATCAAACAACATTTTGTAGAAATCTGATGGAGCTGACAAACATCCGGGACACATAAGGGTCAACATATTCACAAAAAATATATTTAAAACAAAGTTGACTATAGCAGCACGTGTTTACACCCATGATATTAGCATGTGCTGTTAGTTTTAGATTTTGAAGGCTTTGAACAATTTTTTTAATTGTCTGAAGTTGTGAATTCTTGTCTGGGACAAGGATGTTTTTTGGCACAGGGCAAGTTTAGAAGTTTAAAGAATGAAAGCAGATCAAATATTTTATGAATCATATTTATTTCATACATATAAATCCTTTAAAAATAATGTTTAACCCCAGAAACTGAAATAGTGTGTTGATAAGTTTTTTAATTTTTAGTTTTTTTTGGTAGGATATGGTTTGTCCTAATTTTCAAGAATGGATTCTTTAATTCCACGCAAACATGAAAGTGTTGGTCAAGTGTTCCTGTGACAAAGTTATGCCACTGCAAGTCTACTTATTTGCTTCAACTGATAGTAATCAATTAGAAATATATATAATGAAACGCCATGAGTGGAACTACAACTTTATTTACTGTTTATCTGGTGGCTGGATCAAAGGTTACTGCCAGCCATCCTGGCATGCTAAATTTAATAGACGTGTGTGATGCGTCCCCTCTTTTCCTCATCTACAAGGTTTTTAGGTTTCAAGCTAATAAACAATTCACTTAATTTAGAAATTATGGATAAGATGTATGTTACCTGTGAGTGTGTACCATGTCCCTGGAGAACTCTTCTCTCTCTAACAGCAGGTCCTGAATTGCTCCTTGTGCCTCTCTGGTCTGTCTCTGCAGAGCTGCTCTGGCATTTGTCAGCTCCTCTGCCATGACTCTGTAGAGACAACATTGATGCAAGTGTTTACTCAGCACGATGACGTTAATTACATAGAGGTAAAACCCATTATACATTTTATTTGTCCTCCAGCAGTGCTGAAGTGTCCCTGACAGATGCTTGTAGGATCAAAGGACAGCAGCTGGTAGCGCCCTGAAATATAACATCCCATCCCTTCTATCCTCTCCTTTTAATGTCCTATCATTTCCATTTGTCACACAATTATCTTGTCTATTTCATTACCTGCTGGCCAGGAACTTGCTCCTCCAAACGTCACACTGGATACTCATTCGCTCCAGCTGCTCTGCAGTGTGTGCCAGGCTGCGGCCCAGAGCCTCATTCTCCAGAATCAGTTGGTTCTTCTCTCGCGACATACGTTCAAAATGGTACTGAAGGTCATCACCCACCGACGCCACCAGCAGTTTCTTCAGCTCACGGTTCACCTGGCACATGGGGTAAAATAGCATTAGCAAATTCCTTTTTACAGCTGAAAGCTTGCATGAGGACATGAACTCTTTCTTTTGTATTTACTTTAAAGCACTTCATCACTGGAAAGATAAAAGAAAAAAACAGTGGTCTCATTTCTAAGTCCACTCAAAAAGACAATGAGGAGCATGATTACATTGTATTACCTTCATCAAAACGCATTGATAATGCTACTGATCACTGTACTGTTCCATGTATCCATATTTCCTGCATATTTTGATACATAAAAAAGCAACAACCCAACTGTGCTAAGCCTAGTTGAGTCTAAATAAAATGCTTCTTTTGGGGCCTTACCTCCGTCTGCACACGGAGCTGATTGGAAAGCCCTTCCTTGTCCTGCAGCAGCCTGCGTTCAGAGTTCTGCAGCTTCTCCAGCTGTCCTCTCCAATCCTCCACCAGAGGCAGCGGGGGAGAGCCCTGCTCCTCAGCCTGTTGCCCATTCTCCCCTTTCCCTTCACCAGGTCCTGCGCGGCTGCTCCGGCTAATAGCAGCGCGTGGGACGATGATCCTGACAGCTTCCACCTCTGTGCAGGCCTCCCGACTCACCTTGCCCAAGTGGAGCACGCCGAGAGGCTGAGGGGCAGCAGGGGGAGCAGGACAGGTAGATTTGGGGCTGTGTTTTGGGCTTGCCACCTTCAGGAGGGGAATTGCAGGCGGACCTGGTGGCAGTGTGTCTGTGATTATTTCCAGGACAGCGGGAGGTTTTTCAGTTTCCATGCCATCGCCTGCGCCTCGGATAGGCACGCTGGCAGAGCCTGGAAGAAATAAATAAAGACAAGTTTACATTTTGAACATTAATGTGTCTCCCTGAGCGATCAAGTAAGAACATTACTAACACTGTTTACATTGCACAGCTTAACAGTTGATTTGCCAGTGCCAAAGTCCTTGGCAGCACGTAGGGCTGGGTATAAAACCACAATCCTTTTTTGGTAACCACTAAATTGTATTGGTTGTGACAAGCACTAAAAACCGGTCAGACCTGTAATCTCATTTAAATTTTCTTTGATCAGATAGCTCCTGTTTTAATCAAATTTTTCCAGGTTTACACTGTCTTATCAAGGCAACTTCTTGTACAGTTGCTTAACTTAAAACATCATTAAACATTGGATAAGTTTGGCTTTGAATCTTAAAAGAAAAAGGAACATGATTATATTCCTTTAAGTTAAGTGTGGCCAATACAATGGTTTTAGTAATAGCACAGAACTTCAGCTACTGAGTCGACACAAGTATCCAAACATTTAAAATAACACACAGTCACAGCTGTATGGATGAGTACAGGTTATTTTTCGGTGTTTAGCAGCAGTCACAAAGTGTATCTGAAAATCGAGGGATCACTTTAGATATCTTAAATTCAAGATACGATTTTAATGAGTACATACATTACCGCAGATGTGTCTTGACGAAAGTGGTCTAAAGACTGGCTACACAGGCAGCAAATGTAAACTTTCTGTGGCATGTAAATACTTGAGACGTAGTCAAAACAATACATACCTCTCACGGCGGCAGTCATGGTTGAGGTGGCGCAAGTAGAGAAGGAAGTCTGTTAGATTAGATGAGGTGAGACCCGTCGTCGTCGTCCTGTGACAATAAACAATGGAGAACGTACTTTGTTGTTAAACTCTGTAACATTCAGTGTTTATGACTGCGATAAAAGAGTTCCGCTAGTCAAAAGGTCAGTATTATCAGCTGAGGTACTGATAACGTCACACGATAACGGTGGCTAACTTAGCTGGTTAGCTAACTTGCTAAGGCTAGCTGTTCGCCGAACAACATTGACGGCAACGTAAACAGCTAACAGGAAGTTTAACATAAAAGTTAAAGTACTCAGGATAGCCGCTACCTATCTGCTAGCTATTTTTTGTGTTTTAGATAAATTGTTAGATGACATACCAGGTAACAATCGGTCACACGTCTTCAGTTAATTCGTGTGAGAAGCCGCTAGCTGTTTATTTTGTTACCGGACACAGTTGGCCTCTGTGGAGTCACTGGGGAAGTATGCCCCGAGGCTGGCCTTTCAGGCGACACTTCCTGCCAAGAAACACCTCCTCTTTCAAGGCCACAGGGAGTTCACTTTTCAGCACCGTACACAGAACAAGACCTCACCATTAGTTTTAACGTTACCCTGACTTTTTCTAACAATATTAATAATATAGACACTTTGTCAAGCAGTAGTATTTGACAAGAAAGCCTGACAGACTAAACCCAGGATCAGTATGCGGAAATGCGACGAACTTTCCGTCCCGTCCCGTCCCGTCCTTACAAAACTGATCTCCGGTCGGTTGCTACGTTGTTCGGCTGGTACTGTCAGGCTTTCAGTTAACTGTGAAACTGATTAGGGATCAGTGAAAAGGTGCTACTCGAAGTTGGTGGTGAAACGGTTGAATATAACCCGATGTGAACAACGCGGAACCTTCCAACGCAGTTAGTTATTGCTCTACGGACAAAAATAGTGTTGCAACAAACGTTGAAAAAAGTGCTGCAGCAGTTGCTTTGGTTACCACTGCAGTTACTTCGGAGAAGATACGAGAAAATGTTAAGTTTAATCAAGCACGCTTAATTTATTGTCGTGTGTTTAAGTTTTTGATATTTACAGTACTTCCGGTGAGTTCTGGACGATAGTTATCATGGGAGTACACGGACTGTGGAGGCTGCTGGAGAGCACAGGGAAACCCATCAACCCTGAGACATTAGAGGGAAAGATCCTTGCTGTTGGTATCCTGATGTGGTTGTGATCTATTCATCTGTCCTCTTATCTGTCTGTCACCTTCTTTCCTTCATGTCCCTGTCAGATTTATTGATGTATCAGACTGTGTTCTGTTAAGCCTTAATGTTGACCTTAACCAGGCGACCCCCAGACATCAGTATATGGCTGAACCAGGCAGTGAAGGGTGTGAGGGACCGTGATGGCAACAGTGTCCAGAATGCCCACCTCCTCACTCTCTTCCACCGCATCTGCAAGCTACTCTTCTTCCGCATCAAGCCAGTGTTTGTGTTTGATGGAGACGCACCACTGCTGAAGAAACAGACCCTGGTATGCTTCATCAAGATCCACATAAGCAGTCTGTGCAGATGATTTTGGATATGTCCTCCAAATGGATGTGATTCCCACCTATTCTGTCATTTAACAATGTTGTTGCTCTTGCCTGCAGGCTCTGAGGAGGCAGAGGAAAGAGGAGTTGAGCCGGGAGTCCAAAGAGACCAATGAGAAACTCCTCAAGACATTCCTGAAGAGACAAGCTATCAAAGCAGCACTTGGAGACCGCAGGTAAGGGACAGGGAACATGTACAGGTGTCTAAATAGGCTTTTTTTTTAAACTACAAGACAAACTGTCCACTCAGAGTCATTTTGATCTCAGTGGTTTTGCCTGAATTTCCCTCTTTCTCTCCTGCCACAGTAAGGATCCTCTACCCAGCCTGTCCACTGTGAGGAGAGATGAGGTGGATGACATGTATGTTCTACCAGCCCTGCCAGCTGCAGAGGAGAAAGACAAAAGCAGGTCAGACGTCTGGGAAAGGTTACTGTTCACTAGTCAGGTGTAATGAAGTAGGTTGTCAAAAGTATTAATACTTCCATTCTTTTTTTGATTCCATGTGTTTAAAATGACAGAATCTCAGTTAACTATACATTTAATAGTATTGAAAGTTATGAAGTTATGAAACAAACAGATGTACAATCAGATTTTCAACCCAAGGCTGCACAGATGAAACAACAGGGGAAAAAAAAGTCAACTGGTCCTGTGGCTGTTACAGCTTTCTCTCCATCAACAAAACCACCATGTGACCAGAGGCATGTGTTCAATGACTTCTTCTGGTGAAACATTGTGTTCAGTTTGTTAATTCAAAAAAGGAAAAAATATATCCTATTTAGAGGCCTGGGAGTTTGAGGGTTCTGCACTGTTCCTAGGACTGCAGTCTTCTGGACAGAGATCTCAGATGTTGTACCTGGAATCTGCTGGAACCACTCTCCTAGTTTGGGGGTTACAGCCCCGAGTGCTCCGATTAACGCTGGCACCACTGTTGCCTTTACTCCTCACATCTTTTCTAGCTCCTCGTTCAGCCCTTGTTTTGTTTTGTTTTGTTTTTTTTGAGCTTCTTGCGTTCCTTCTCCCTGATGTTGCTGTCGCTCAGGATTACTACATCTATCATCCCTGCCTTCTTCTGTTGTTTGGCGATCAACACAATGTCTGGTTGGTTAGCCAGCACCAGTCTGTCAGTCTGGATCGTATCTGGGTCATTCACAAGCACCGTAGGAGGTGTCTTCCATTCTGACCTTGGTACTTCCAGCTCGTACTCAGTGCAGATGCTCCTGTACACTATGCCAGCCACTTGGTTACAGCGTTCCATATACACTGTTCCTGCCTGCATCTTCTACCCTGCTATTATGTGCTGAACTGTCTCAGGAGCCTGCACCTGGGGGTCCTGTCTGGTGTGGTGTACACCTGCTTCTATTGATCTTGTATAGATATAGTCTACAAGTGTTGTATCAAAGGTTAAAATTCTGGTATCGTGACAACCTTAAAAGTGGTGAGTAATTCAGTCAGATTATCTGCAGTCCACCAGAGAGGTTTAGATCCATTGCCTGATAAAACAGAGAGGAGGCTGGAGAGCTCCTCATCTTCACATGTGTTAGACCGGAGAGTCAGGCTAATCAATGACAAATTACCCGATGGAGCACTCAGCAAAATGTATTGTTTTATACAGCCGTTTCACCTTTAACACTGGTACTTTAATCATTTTAATGTGTTTTGTTAATGCAGTTCAGAGGAAGAGGGGGAAGAGCAAGAGTTAGAGGAGATGGATGATGCTTATTACATGTATCAGGTAAAATAATCCCACACACAAGAGCATTACATCCTGTAACACCACCACCAAATGCTACAGCTTTATATAGTTTGTTTTTGAGTGAATGTTGACACTGTGAGAGACAAGATATTATCTGATATTTTGGTTTTGGACCCTGGTCTGGTCCTGGCTATGTTACACTTAGTGTTTTCACTGAGTGAAATCATCAGTAAATGCCTCCGTTTGGCCATCATATCTTCTGATTGTGTCATAAAACTCTACTATGTGTCAGTATCTTCTGAAAGTTTTAGTCGTGTTTGACAAATTATCAGTTTGTACGTTGTACGTTGGTTGGCTTTATTGCCCAGCCTTTCCTTGTATGCATGCCCTGTTAAATACTTGACATTTAAAGTCAGGTTGCTCACTGTATCTTAGGGAGAAGCTTATCAAAATCCCAACTCCGTGGACATCAACTCAGAGGACTTTGCAAACCTGCCTCCTGAAATGAAACACGAGATACTCAAAGACATGAAAGAGTTCTCCAAAAGACGCCGCAGCATGTACCAGAAACCCCCAGAGGTACTGTTTGCTCTTATATCCACTCACACACACTCACTCAACTTCTGCTCTCTCACACGGACTCCACTTTGCTTTCTCTTAGCGTTCAGGAGACTTTTCCCAGTACCAGTTGGCTGGCCTGCTGCAGAGGAACCAGCTGAACCAGCGTCTGGAGGTTGTGGAGAAAGAGATGAGCCAGAGGAGTTCCGGCAGTGCTCCTCAGCTCTACGAACAGGACGGGGAGCAACAGAGTCACAGCGTAGAGTCACAGCGACTGGTTTCAGAAGACTATTCCCATTATATCCTTATTAAAGGTGAGGGCAGCTAGTATTTTTAAATTTCTGCAAAAAAAATTGGTACCGTATTTATATCTATGGGTGCCCGCAACAACGGAAATGTGGGCTTTCATCGATAAAATAGACTATAACATTTACATTCACATCAAAAAAATACAAACCTATCCTCCACTTTTCCTTCACAGGCTCCAAAAAGAATGAGACTGTCCCCGAGAGCCAACCTGCAGTTGCACCCTGGTCTGGCAGCTCCCTGACAGGCTCTACAAGACAAGCAGCAGACAAACCCGAGCCCCTGTGGCGTCCTGCTTGTGAGGAAGAGGGAGAACGGTGGGGTCCCTCCTCAGAACTCTGCAAACCCTCTATATCAAAACCATCTCAGGCAGACACATCACCACCTTCGCCTCGTACACTCAAGGCGATCCAGGCTGCGATGAATGACAGCTCAGATGAAGAGAAGGTGGATCAGGATAAGAAGGATGGTAGCGTGTCCCCACGTACCCTGCTGGCAATCCAGCAAGCTCTAACTGAGGAGGGAGACGGAGCTGCCAAACACAGGACTCTGATCAGCAGCTCACCCACCAAAGCGCAGGAGAATATTCATCATGCTGTGCCACAAGTGGTCATCAGCAGCTCAGAGGAAGAGACAGAACCTGATCATGTGAAGTTTTTTCCTGATGAGACATCTGACTTTAAGGGAAGCCCAATAGGCCAAAGGCTACATGTAGATGACAGTTTATTAGGTAGCAGTTCTGAAGATGAGATGGAGGACATGATCAGCCAGAGAAATAAAGCACTTCGCTTGGCTGCGCTGCAACAACCTCTCGAGACAGAGATGAAGTCAGAAGAGGAGAGAAAGAAAGAACAGTTGACAGAGGAAATAAAGACAGGAAGTAGAAGGCAGACAGAGAAACAAGAAGAGCTGGAGAGAAGAGAATCAGAGCAGGGATCAATCACAAAGCCACAGGATGCTCCTGCTTCCAATCAGAACACGTTGTCCATCAATCTCTCTGCTCAGCTACGTGGAAAACCTGAAGAGACTGAGCTGTTACAGCAGAGGAGTAACCAGGTGATTGAAGCTGCAGGGGAGAGGAATGGTGATGATGTGAAGTCGGAGGGCAGCGAGGAGAGCGAGTCAGAAGGTACAGCTCTGAAACCAGCAGATATTAAAGGGGCAGTTAACCCCAAAATCAGAAGTACATATTTTTTCTCCCACCTTTAGTACTGTTTATCAACGTAGATTGTTTCTGTGTGAGTTGCACAGTGTTGGAGATATCAGCCATAGAGATGTCTGCCTTCTCTCGAATATAGTGCAACAAGATGGCACTCGGCTTGTGGTGCTCAAAGTGCCAAAAAAAAATACATTTAAGAGAACAGCAATTTCTCTTTCTCGCTATAGACCTTGTTGTGAGCAGTTTCTTGTAGGAACTACTTTATGTCTACCAAACTACACTCACCAACTGCGCAGAGGGAAGTGCTGCTGCTAGCTCACCTAGCACCGCCGAGCTAGCTAATGTTACAGCTCAGCTGCAATAGGACACCATCAATATTTCCATCTTAAACTTTCAAGAGCACGAGCCTCTTGTCCATGAGTAGATGCACACGTCCTTCTGTGTGGTGATACAGTCAGTGGTTGCAGTTCAGTAAAATGAAAATAGTTTCTACATGAAACTACTCACAACAAGGACTGTGGATTATTTTGAGTAACTGGGTTATGATTTCTGGATCGAGACATTGCTGTTGAGTTTTTCAAATGTATTTTTTTCTCCCGCTTTGAGCCCCACCACCTAGTTCCTTTATTTTTTAGAGACCGGCCAATGGTTCCATTACAGAGCATCTCACACTAATCCAATCTAGATTAATAAACAGCACTACAGGTAAGAAGAAAATATTAGGTGAAGTATACCTTTAACAAAATTGCTTTTTTTTGTGTGTTTTCCCAGAGAGCTTCATCGAGGTGTCAGAAGACGAATTTAAAGAGGAGGATGCAAATGATTCACTTTTAATTACCGGAGAGAAAGGATCTCAAGATGAGGTCTGTAAAGAAGAGAACGAGCAGGAAGAAAAACCAGAACTGACAGAGGCTCCGGCTGCTGCTTTGAAAGAAGAGGAAGAAGAAGAAGACAAAAAGAGACAGACTGAAGAGAAAGAGTTAAAGGAGGGGACAGAGATGGAATCCAGCTCGACTCCAGCGACTAATGAATGGGAACACTTTGATGTGGTACGGATTCCTGTTAGATTTTAACTTCAGTGCTTATTTTAAAATACAGAAGCTAGCCTCAGGTTTTCAAAACAGAAAAATAAAACAAGAATCTGCCATTTTATTTTAACTTTATATTCACTTTACACTGCACAGGGCTGCAGTATGACAAAGCAGAAATGGGCTTTAGGCTGAGTAGTTCAGCACAGTAATGTGTATGTGATTGGGCTGATGCAGCGACTGTGTGTTGTGCTGCAGGATGAGCTGGAAGCTCTGGAGAGCTCTTTGCAGTTGGAGCAGAGCAGCCTGAGGGAGCTGAAGCAGCAGCAGGAGAGGATGGCGAACACAGTCACTGGACAGATGCAGCTGGAGAGCCAGGTGAACCACAGACACTTTTACATCACATCAAGCATCGTAAGAATAGAATAAGAAGTTAAATACACATCCATGAGATATGAGGACCCAGAGCTGCACCTGATTTGGATGTTATCAGTCCATTCAAATTATCCATTTAAATTAGTCAACACTGACTTTTGATTTCATGTCGGCTCTCCTAGGTGAAAGGCCTGTGTTTGTTTGACCAGTCCACCACCCTTACCTGACTTCCCCCTTTGCTCCCGTTATAATTATTACAGCTACGAAATGTCTCCACCAAACAATAAAGGGAAATGGCCACTTCATACTCATATCTGTGACGCTTATAACCACTGACAACCGGTTAACCCAGAGAAGGCGTAAGGCCGACTGGGGGGGGATACATTTCTTTGTGGTGCCTCAGCCAGACATTCCCAGAGCCATACAGTCTGTATTACTTTACAATCTTTGCTGTGAGTATATGTGTTAGCTTGTTCATGTGTCTGTTAACTCACTGACAGTATCACAGGCTGTCATCATTTTCTCCCTTGTAAAATGTAAAACCTCCAAAGTGCTCTATTAATCCCCTTGGCTGTTTTGATAATGCTGCTAAGAGCGAAGGTATTTCTCAGATGACTACAGAAACATGGCAAATAGTGTCAGTGTTCTCAAGAAAAAAAACATAATGACAGTGTAATCTTGGTGTAGACAAGACCAAAACCATCAGCTTTCGATACTGTCTTGACCGTTTTCTTCTTTGCTACCAGGAGCTGCTGCGGCTGTTCGGCGTGCCGTTCCTGGTGGCACCGATGGAGGCCGAGGCTCAGTGTGCAGCACTGGACCGCGCTGACCACACGAACGGGACCATCACAGACGACTCAGACGTGTGGCTGTTTGGAGGGCGACATGTCTACAGGAACTTTTTCAGCCAGAACAAATATGTCGAACATTACCAGTACAGTGACCTGCAGAACCAACTGGGTCAGTGCTCACTGTCATATTTAATAACAGATCCTGTTAAAGTTTTTAAACAAGGTTAATAGTTAATCTCCTCCTGTCATGTCTTTTTATTTTAAATGTGGAGTTCGTCTTAGTTTCATTTTAGAGTCTAAAAGATTACATGACAGCAAAAATGTCTTTTTCTTGTTGATTCAAAATGCCAAATACACTCAGAAAGAAATATATTATTAGACAGAATTTGACCAGCCAACTTTCAGTCAAATCAAGTACAGCCTGAATCTCCTTCTTGATGGAGAAACAAACTAAACCACAGACAATTATCACATTTATGATGCGATTTCATTGGATATTTTCCTTTCCTTTTGTCACCTGCACATACTCTGACCTTTGTGTGTCTGTATATGACAGGTTTATTCATGCAATTGCACATGATGTTAATTTGCTGTTTTGTGGCCTGCTGAAATTTAAGAGTGAGGTGTTGAAATTGTGCTGGGATAACACATCACTGCCTTAATCCGATCATCTTACATTGCACATATCAGAGACACGTGTTTTTGTTGTGATGGGCTGTCAGCAGACTGACCGGGCAGAGAGCAAAACGCTTTACTTCTACCTCTCTTTCCCGTCTTTTCATTTTCTCTTCTCTGTCTCTCTCAGGTCTGGACAGGACTAAACTGATTAACCTGGCTTACTTGCTCGGTAGCGACTACACAGAGGGCGTGCCGGGGGTCGGATATGTGACTGGCATGGAGATACTGAATGAGTTCCCAGGACCAGGCTTAGAGCCGCTCGTACAGTTAAGGTGTATTTCAGTGTTTGTGTTCATTAGTCCAGGAGATTCAAAGGTTATTGGATTTTCAAAATTATTTTTTACCTTTTTTCTGTTCTTCACAAATTTGTAAACCCTTTTACATATTTCATGCTTTATCCCTCAATCCTCTATTTACTGTATCTATTAACTATGGTACAAATGTGAAAAATAAGCGTATTGTCAAAAGTGCCTTCTATTTTTAACTGAACTGAAAAAAAACATTAACTCAGTATACAACTTAGCCATGTGCCAGTATTAAAAACTGTCATGGCAAAAATCCCCACTAAACTTGGTTATTGTTTCTTTTTCTCTAGTGAATGGTGGGCAGAGGCTCAGGAGAACAAGCGTCTGGTGGCTAATCCTCGGGACACAAAGGTTAAGAAGAAACTGAGGGACCTGAAACTGTATCCTGGGTTCCCTAACCCTGCGGTGGCTCAGGCTTACCTGCAACCTGCTGTGGAACAGTCCAATAGCTTCTTCAGCTGGGGACGCCCACAACTCGACATGATCAAAGAATATCCTTTCTGTGTGTGTGTGTGTGTGTGTGTGTGTGTGTGTGTGTGGTGTGAGTCAGATTATGAATATGTTAAGTTTCCTAAACTAGTCTTTTACATTCTGTCTGAGTCGTTTTGGCTGGAGCAGTCGGAAGACAGAGGAGACTCTTCAACCTGTGATAAAGCAGCTCAACACCCAGCAGGTAATCAGGGGTACCTCTACCCTAAGGGATACTTTTGCAGTCATTTGCAGGAGGTATGGAGAAAGCGCACCCAACTAACTGAACTAAAAATCAATAATATAAATTAATATTAAACTAAAAATATATGGAATATATTTTTGAATATGTGTGAAAATAAACAGCCAATACAAATGGGTGTGATGTTGATCTTTATTGTATTTACTGTGACTAGTAAACTGCACATCAGCACAATACCACATAATGCAATTTAGTTAGCAAGTGAGCAGAGAAGCTGCAATAGTTAACATTATTCATTGATGGATAAACCGTTGACATTGCTAAAAGAATGAATCAACAGTTAAAATACTTAAGTAAAAGTAATGAATTAACAGTTGAAATAACAAAAAGTAATAAATTAAGAGTTGAAATATTTCGCTAAAGTAATAAATTAACAGTCCAAATAGGTAGCTAAAAGTAATGGATTAACGTTGAAATAGTTAACTTAAGGTAATGAATTAACAGTTGAAATACTTAGCTAAAAGTCAGAAATTACGAGTCAAAATATTTAGCTAAAGTATTGCATTAACAGTTGAAATAGTTAGCTAAAGTAATGAACTCACAGTGGAAATAGTTAGCTAAAAGTAGTGAACTAACTGTTGAAATAGTTAGCTAACATAAAAATCTCACAGTGGAAATAGTTAGCTAAAAGTAATTAACTAATGGTTGAAATATTTAGCCAAAGTAATGAACTCACAGTGGAAATAGTTAGCTAAAAGTAATAAATTAAGAGTTGAAATATTTAGCTAAAGTTTTGAATTAACAGTCGAAATAGTTAGCCAAACGTAATGAATTAATGGCTGAAATAGTTAACATTAGCTAAAGTAATGAACTCACAGTGGAAGTAGTTAGCTAAAAGTAATAAATTAACATTTGAAATAGTCAGCTAAAAGTCATAAATAAAATACATAAATGTAATGAATAAAAAATTAAATGGTTAGCTAAAAGTTTTGAATGAACAATTGAAATAGTTAGCTAAATAATGAACTAACATGGAATCAGTCAGTCAGAAGTAAATTGAAATAGTTAAAAGTCAATGAATAAACAGTTGAAATAGTTAGCGGTAGCTAAGAGTAATGATTTAGAGGTTTAAATTGTTTACTGAAAGTAATGGATTAATTGTTTAGACACCCAGATTCTGCCATTATAAATGGTAGTAGTACAAATGCAAACATGAGCAGAGCAACTTAAACACTGACAAGTCAGTTGTAGAAACAAAAATATCCAACAGTGTCCCCTTTTACATACTGTAGTTATAGCATTGAATAACATTCGGAGCATGATGGGTGGTGCAGATGAAGGGATACTTGAGCTAATCTGATGGAGCAGTGGGGTTACATCACATATACAACTGTAAGAGGTTACAGTAAATGGCTGCAAGACTGTCACATCTTCAGTCCAGTAAGCGCACCTAAAAACATCCCTGTCTCGTGTTCACTTCCCACTCTCTCCAATGTCTCCAGTTTGATTGTGTAAGTTTGAAAAAGACAGTAATGAAGGGAATAAAACCACTTTGTAGTCTGACATCATTTATGCTTTTGGTTTAGACTCAGCTACGGATCGACTCATTCTTCCGCATGGAGCAACAGGAAAAGCAGGCGATCCGCAGCCAGCGACTCCGCCGAGCTGTCACCTGCATGAAGAGAAAGGAGAGAGAAGGAGGAGAGGAGGAAGAGGAGGACAGCGAGGAGGAAATGCCATCCCCCAAGAAAGGCAAAGCGGCAAGCAAGAGTCCAAAGAAAGGAGGATGCGGGGACAGAAAAGAGGAGAGGCCTGTGGTAGGAGGAGGGTTTCTAGGGTCAGAGGTGATGGTTGAACCTCCTCTCACACCTCTGAAGGATGTGAGCAGCACCAGCCGGGAGTACCTTTCAGTAATGGCTGTCCCTGTGTCTACTAAGACTGTACCTCAGATGGCCAGGGGGAGCAGCAGCAGCCAGGAGTCCCCCTCAGTAAAGGCCGTCCCTCAGCCTACTAAGACTGTACCTCAGAGGGCCAGGGGCAGCAGCAGCAGCAACAGCTCTGATGAGGACAGCGACGATGACAGGGAAGTTGCTATGGTTACCGCCCGATCTGTGTTCGAGGGCAGCCGACGAGGGCGTGGAACGAAAAGCACGAGGGGTAGAGGAAGCACGAGAGGAAAGGGAAAGGTGAAGAAGTTGTGAGGGGGGAAAAACTGAATTTCAAATATACAATTAACATTAATTGTTTTGATATTAACTGTGAGACATATTCACACACTTCCAAATAATATCTGATATTTGATATTTATAAGCTAAATGTGAAAATGAATCATGATGAACTGAGCTATTTCTGTATTATAGAATACTGGTACGTGTTTTGTAAACTATTGATGTGACTGAAAATATTTTTTTACCTGTGTACAAGCCAAATATATCACATTAAATTGTTGAAGTACATGTTTTTTTTGTAGTTGAAGTACTTCAACTTCTTCTGTTGAAGTACTGAGACAGGTGCAAGTCTTCAGCGCCTTACATCCCTCAAATTTCTTTCAGGCAGTATTTCAGTCGCCTTCTGCTCCTGCATACACTCCCCTTCCTCCTCCCTCTGCCTCGGACACATGCAGACATCCAGGCTTTTGCAAATGTGAGAAAAATGAATGAATACATGATGTTCTATCACCTGCGTCAAGGGTCAAGAGCTAATTTAGATTGTCAGTAAAATAGATTTGTTTATTTAAGGCATTAGCCCTTTGCTTCACTCTCAAGTTCAGTGGCCGGACGGAGCAGCTGTGGCTGTCCGTCAGTCATACTGCCTCAGAGAGAGCTAGAAATGTGGGGGGAGCTGAAGTGGTTAAACAAGAAGTTGGAAAACACTGTAATTGTGTGTAACTTGAAACCACAGAAGGTGACAGCTAACAGCCTGCAATAGATCTGGATCCAGATTGACCCAAATCCAAAGGACTTCATCTGGGACCAAAAAAAACCTACGACTTATTTGCCCTCCTTTTTGGACTCCTTCAAACATGGAGACTCAACAGTCCAAGGGCAAGAAGGAGGACTCCAAGACCAAAGAAGAAGGTGAGAATTTGCACACAAGTGCAAGTTTTGTTTCTAATTTCAATGGCATTAATTCGTGTTAGCAGTTTGGTACATGGTTACAACTGTTTAAGCAGGTATTTTTCTTTTTGAAACACTGATTTCAGAGGTAGTGTGCATGCATAGTTAAATCTAAATCCCATAAACCGACCGAGCATCAATCTACTGTCAGAGCTTGCAGGATGTGGCTGTGTTTACAGCTGCATCATTAATGTCATCAGAGATATTTATACACACATAAAAGCTGTAATTTGAGCTCTTGAGCACCCCCCAACCTTTGCATTGTCCCTCCGTGGACTCCCCTGAACTTTTCTGTCAACCAGCATTGCATAACTGAAGTTGTGTGTCAGATGCCATGACTTAGCAGCAGCACCGACACATAGCTGGGGTCTGACGCAGCGGCATGATGTTTCAAACAGAGCAGGATCAGAGGGGCATTATGAGCCTAAATGTGATTCATTTATAGAGCACAGAATCAAATGTTACCTGCAATGTGATATGAAGGAAAAACAACATTACTTATCTGTTTGATTTGAGGCCGGAGTATGTCAGTGCTACTTTTAGGTGATGGGCAGCGGTGGACAAAATAAGAGAAACACCTACTAATCCTGTACAGTAGTCCTGCAGTCTGCAGACTTTGTTTTTTCTTTAAACACATTTTGGGATTGCTTCACCCAAATTATTTTCTTACATGGTGGTATTTAGCCATTTAGTCACATTTTTGAAGATCTTTTGCTTCCACTCCAAAAAAATTGCAGTAAAACAAATCAATCAATCAATTTTATTTATAAAGCCCAATATCACAAATCACAATTTGCCTCACAGGGCTTTACAGCATACGACATCCCTCTGTCCTTATGACCCTCGCAGCGGATAAGGAAAAACTCCCCAAAAAAACCCCTTTAACAGGGGGAAAAAACGGTAGAAACCTCAGGAAGAGCAACTGAGGAGGGATCCCTCTTCCAGGACGGACAGACGTGCAATAGATGTTGTACAGAACAGATCAGCATAATAAATTAACAGTAATCCGTATGACACAATGAGACAGAGAGAGAGAGAGAGAGAGAGAGAGAGAGAGAGATGCAGGTAATAACAGTAGCTTACAACAACATTATTGAAGGTAATAATATTATAGTTATAGTTCTGGCTACTGTGGTACAATATGTTGAAAGTATGTATTAATATCTGGCAGTATACATGTGTGACAATAGTCAAATCAACATGTTATTCTGGATAATGCACAGCCCTAAGTGTGAACAATTTTCATAGGAAATATTAAAGATCCTAACAAATTCCTACGAAAATGAAACCCAGATTCAGTCAGATGGTCTTTCCCTTGTCATGTCACACCATTTTGATGCACCAGCAATTCAGTCAGCAGCTTCTGTACATCATAAACACCAAGGCAGCTGCACAGGTGACGCATAATAAAGTAATGAGCAATGCACGTCAACTCAAACTGACCTACTGTTGTTGCTGCTTGAGTTGTTGGAGCAGCAAGCACCTTAGAATTATATCAAGTGCCAAGAAATCTGAAAAATCTTACACACCAAACAGGAAAACAGCAGTGGCAACATGGAGCAGTGCTCACAATAGACTGTCATCAACAGATGGGACGAGACAACAAACACTACGTACTTTGGCATCAAAGACTGAATACAGACTTGACACAACGCCTCTACCAGTAGCAGCAAAACACAAGATCAAAAGCAGCAACATTATGATTACAAAACTATGTTGAATACTGTTTAAATCACCTTTTTTCACGGCAGAAATTTTGACTCGTCACAACAGGTAAAAAGCACCACTGCAGCTAATAATGTTAATTACAGCTCTATACCATCTACAGTCCCTGACAAAAGTCTTGTCGCTTATCCAAGTTGTAGGACCAACAAATAATAACTTGACTTGTAGTTGATCAATTGGAATCAGAAATGGCTTATATGAAAGGCAAAGGCCTCTAGATTATGCTTATTATACCAAAATAAAGTTGTGCATCATTCACTGAATTTTATCATTTAATTAGGACAGAAAGTTCAGATCTTGCTTGGACAAAAGTCTTGTTGCATACAAAAATAATGTACTGTAGAAATGATACTTTATTTTGAATACACAAACATGCTCCAATAACATCAGAACATAAAGTCATGGTGCCTTGGGAAAAAGAATTAATATCGTGTATGACTCCCATGAGCTTGGAGGACTGCATCCATACGTCTCGGCAATGACTCAAATAACTTATTGATGAAGTCATCTGGAATGGCAAAGAAAGCAGTCTTGCAGGACTCCCAGAGTTCATCAAGATTCTTTGGTTTCATCTTCCAAGCCTCCTCCTTCATCTTACCCCAGACATGCTCAATAATGTTCATGTCTGGTGATTGGGCTGGCCAATTCTGGAGCACCTTGACCTTCTTCACTTTCAGGAACTTTGATGTGGAGGCTGAAGTATGAGAAGGAGCACCATCCTGCTGAAGAATTTGCCCTCTCTTGTGGTTTGGAATGTGATGGGCAGCGAGAACCTCTTGATACTTCAGGCTGTTGATGTTGCCATCCACTCTGCAGGTCTCTCGCACACCCCCATACTGGATGTAACCCCAAACCATGATTTTTCCTCCACCAAACTTGACTGTTTTCTGGGTGAATCTTGGGTCCATGCGGGTTCCAACAGGTCTTCTGCAGTATTTGCGGCGATTGGGATGCAGTTCAATGGATGATTCATCAGAAAAATCAACCTTCTGCCACTTTTCCACTGTCCATCCTTTCTGCACGCTGTGGGCCTTGGCAAATGCAGCACGATTCTTTTGTTGTCTTCTGTTTAATGCTGGTTTGTGAGCAGTAATTCGGCCATGGAGACCATTGCGTGAGAGAATTCGACAAACTGTTCTGGTAGATACAGGGGTTTCTGGTGACCAGTTCTGATGTAGCTCTGCTGCAGTTGAAAAAGGGCTGGCCCTGGACTGCCGAAGCAACAAACGGTCCTCTCTAACAGTTGTCTTACGGGGTCTGCCTGACCTGGGCTTGTCATGAAGTGTCACCAGTTTCTTCAAATCTTTTTTTTATCCTCTCCACTTGACGTTTGGATACACTGAAGATGTCTGCCACCTCAGCAGCAGACTTGGTCTTCAGGCTCTTGATGATCAGCACTTTGGTCTGTGGTTGAATCTTTGGCATGTTGTCAGCAGTCAGGTTGCACTTCACATGAAGGTCTGGTGTGCTGGGGTTCTTTTTATACACACCTGGGAATGTGTTAATTACAGTATTTGTCACAGGTGGAGCTCTAATCTGTGATTGGTTGAATTGTTTAAAGACACGACAAGACTTTTGTCCAAGCAAGATCTGACCTTTCTGTCCTAATTAAATGATAAAACTCAATGAATGATACACAACTTTATTTTGGTATAATAAGCATAATCTAAAGGCCTTTGCCTTTCATATAAGCTATTTCTGATCCCAATTGATCAACTACAAGTCAGGTTATTATTTGTTGTTCCTACAACTAGGATAAGCGACAAGACTTTTGTCAGGGACTGTAAGTGTATCAATAACGATGCCAGTGAGATTTATGTGTATCTCCTGTAGGGTTTGCACACATTTTTCATTTCAAAATTCCATTAATTTCCAGGCATCTCTGTAGATTTTCCAGACCATATTTGACCCCTGTGTACAAACAGCCAGTCCTTGGATAACTTGTATTTGCCCACTGTGGCTGTTCAGTCCACACTCTGCTGAAAGTTGGACGATGTTCCACTGTCAAATATCTCTGCTGACACAGGAAGTAAACTGAGCAGTGCTACCTGTACTCGTATTAGCTTCCCCGAACATACTGACTAAATAATACTGTATTACTGTTCCCTCAATGGGTCAACAAATAATTTAATTTCACGGTGTCTGCACAGCCTTTTGCATTCCGTGTCCATAGAAACGCCAATGAACACAGCCATAAAGGTTTCCCTATGCAGAAAAGATTTTCTGTCTACCTTTCTGTCTAAATTTTCAGACAAGCTTAACATCTGGTAATTTGTGATGCTAAGTATATATATGCAATTTTAATATGTTGCCACATTTCTTTCAAACTAATTGGGTCACTCACAGATGTGTTTCAGTTATAAAGCACATGGGGCAGAGATGTTTGGAGGCTGTACGTGCAGGCGTAGGGAAAACCCTGTGTAGGAATGTGCATTCATTTACCATACCTCTAGCCTTACTTTTGACGACATCAAGCTGGCTCTGACCTGCACTCCTTTACACAGTGGTAAACATTCTGGCTCCAAGCACCATGAAAAACACTCTTCTTTGATCAATTTATTATTAGAAATTCTGAATTTTATATTTTAGAAAACAGAACAGGGGCAATAGACTGGAAACACATCTCCAGACCTGAAAATTACTTAAATCAAATTCCATACTTTTTCATACAGCAGAGGAACCTGTATGACGTCAGAATATCTGCTGTGAAAAAGGTCTATTTGTCAATCTTGTGTTATTTTAGATATTCTACATTTTCCCAACTAACTTTATATACTTTGTTATTTTTTTTACCTGCCTGTCTCATGGATGCCATAGCAGGTGCTGCTGTGGACGCAGAGCTAGCCAAAGCCATAATGGCTCGGTGTTTCCACCCCTCTGTGATTGGCCCGGAGCCCTGGGAGGGATACGTCTTTAACGATCTGCAGATCCGTATCAAAGAGTCCACAGACATCTATGGAGCTGTGCTCTGGCCCTCAGTACGCCCAAACCCACACAATATCCTAAATATTTAGCTGCTGAACTGTCCTCTTCTTTTGCCAGTTAACTCTAATCTTTTGCTCCCCCCAACAGGCGATGGTGTTGTGTCATTTCTTAGAGACCAACCAGGACAAATACAACCTGATGGACAAAAATGTGATTGAACTGGGTGCTGGAACTGGGCTCGTCACCATCGTGTCCAGCCTGTTAGGTACAGACACAAAACCACCCAGTGATTAGCTCTCACACATCTCTTAATCTTTCAGCTTTGTCTCCCTCTGTTGCTGTTTGTATCTGATAAGCTGCACTGCCTCTTTCCAGGTGCCAAGGTGACCTCCACTGACCTGCCAGATGTGTTGGGGAACCTCCAATACAATGTTATGCGCAACACCAAGGGCCGATGCAAGTACATCCCTCTGGTAGGCTTTTATATTTGGATATCATATTTCCAGTGCAGCAAACACCAACGATTGATGATATAAAACATCCTAGGATGCAAAAGTGGGCTTAAACCTTTATAGAAAAGAAATGGATACAATACAACCCTAAATCACCTCTGTTTGTAGGTCACTGAGCTCGTCTGGGGTCAGGGCGTGGAGCAGCGTTTCCCGCGTGCCACACATTGTTTCGACTACATCATGGCAGCCGACGTGGTGTATGCCCATCCTTTTCTGGAGGAGCTGATGGACACCTTTGAGTACCTGTGCCAGGAAAACACACAGATCCTGTGGGCCATGCGTTTTCGACTGGACCCGGAGAACAGCTTCGTCGACCGCTTTCGGCAGCGCTTCCACCTGGAGGAGCTGTACGACCTCCCCAGCCTCAGTATCAAACTGTACCGAGCCTGTAGGAAGGATAAGAGGACTCAGGACCGTAGAGAGGCTGCTGCCTGAACTGTGTACACACACTGCATATGAAGTGTGTGTGTGTGAGGGTGTGAGTGTGTCTGTGACTAAATTTGTTGTTTATTCTGTAATGTCAGGTGTTTTCATGGACCTCATGCAAATCTCTAAATGTATCTATCTGTCTAAAATGACCACTGAATTCAATCTGACATCGTGTCACTCAACAGTCTTATTTATAGCTGATCTGTTCATTTAGGTGACCTTCAATAAACCAGCAAGTCTGTATGTTTGGATACACGTAAGGCTTTTTCATATGGATGTTTAATAAGGGGGCATTTTGGGTCACAATGACCAAGAAGTCCCTCTGCAGTATCTCACTCAGTGATTTATCTATTTATTTTTTTAAAGCTTGTTGTCGTCCATCAGCAGCACATTCTCACACTTCAGGTCTTGGCAGACAGTGTTGTTTTGGTCCAGTCGGCTCACACAGCACAGATGATGTGGTAAGACGTGGTTCTGGATTTTTCCAGTGGATTCCTGATGAGCCTGTGGATTTTATTTGGGAGGTCTGTTGCCGTGTTACTTCACATGGACAATGTGACAGCCTAGTCGCCAGAGGGAAAACGTTGGCATTGTACGCTTATACAAACAACAGATACAGTGATACATTACAGCTGTGCATTTCATACGTACCATTTCAGTGTTTCTAAAGTGACATAGTAACTGAGCTGATTGTCATTAGGAGGGGATGGTAGATGGTGTGACACCAGCCAAGCTGCAGATGACTGTTCAAGAACAGCAAAAAAACACAACTGGCTGTTTTTTTAGCAAGTTATCACTGTGTTTTCAGTGGAGTTTTAGCTATCAAATGTAGGGTTTTTGAATTTTGGTGACTTGTTGCTGTTTTTTTCACCTGTCATCATGCCATGAGAACCAGTTGTATTTTACAGAGACATTGCTGCTTTTCCAGCTGGGATTATGCCAACTGTGTATTTTAAGCCAAAACATGATCTTTTTCAAACATAACAAAGTTTTTTCAGTGTCTAAACGTAACCACACGTTAACCACAGTGTTGCTGAAGCATGAAGTTTCAGTGTATCCACTACAAAACAATATCTTTACTATATAATGATGAAAACTCTGTCTGTGTGTCTGTTCCATGTTTTTCTCCTCACTGACTTGGTCAATCCATGTGAAATTTGGCACAGTGGTAGAGGGTCACGGGAGGATGCGAATGAAGCGATATTACCTCAATTGGCCAAAGGGGGGCGCTATAGCAACTGATTGAAATTGCAAAATTTGAATGGGCATATCTCATGCCCCGTATGTTGTAGAGACATGAAACTTTGCACAGAGCTGCCTCTCCTCATGAGGAACAAATTTGCCTCAAGAACCCATAACTTCAGGTTATATAGATTTTCCATCATTTTGAATTTTTTGAAAAACACTTAAAATCAATCTCTTCCTAGGAAGTTTGACCGATCTGCATGAAACTGGGTGAATATAATCTAGGGACCAATATCTAAAGTTCCCTCTTGGCAAAAGTTGGAAAACTTACTAAAACTGAGTTTCTATAAGGCAATGAATATTGCGGAGGGTGTGGCTCATCACATAAAGGTGTATAACATCTCAAGGGTTTCACCCATCACCACGCAACTTTGTAGGCATATGACCACACATAATCTGAGGGGACCCCTCCATTATTGACCCCATCAAACAAAATGGGGGTGCTAGAGAGCTAATTTCTTATCTAGGCCTAACCGCCATATGGATTTTTACTAAACTTGGTAGATATGTAGAACAGGACATCTCAAGGTGACTGGAGAAATTTAACTCTAACTGGCAACTGGGTGGCGCTATAACAACTGAAAAATCCTTAAAAATGGCTAAAATGTGACCAATCGCTGCGGCTCCCCCTGTGGCCCAATGTTGGGGGGTTTTTTTCTTCTAATTTTTGGTATGACTAAGTCATGGTATGGTATGCTGTACATAATCACAGAAACTGTCAGTGTGTCATTCTGTCTGTCAGTCATTCTGTCTGTCCCACATTTTTCTACTCACTGACGTGGTCAATCTATGTGAAACTGCACATAGGCATTGAGGATTGGCATAGGTAGAAGGTGACAAAGCTACCAATGGGTATGGACTAGTACAAATGTAACATATCAATGGTTTGCAGAAACATACAATGCCAACATTCACTTTTGGTACCAGGGACTTTTCTCTATTTCATTCTCCACTGCAGGTAGTATGTAAGGTCCTACATTGTCAGTTGATCATCATAACAATGCCATGTAAAACTGCCGTGAAATCATCTTCAGTGCATCACAATGCATGTTGTTCCATTCAGCTCTTGCTGGATCCTTTCATTGGAAACAAATCAGAGGACTGTCTGCACTTCATCACTTGATCACAAGGTGGTTTTGCCAGATGCCTTTTTTTAAAAGGTAGCTTGGTGATGTAAAAATGGCGGGTTTGTGCAGGATGTCCTATTTCATGCGAGTGACAATTCTCTCTGACCAATCAGTGATCTGCAGTGTTTAAAATTCACCCTCTGGTATCAGCTCAGCTCGCTTACAACCCCAACTGAGGCGGCACAAAAAAAGCAGCAGGTGCTATCCACAACTTTTGCCAGTGGAAAACCAAAAATGACCGGTTTCAAGCGAGTCAAGTCGAGTAAAGAAGTACCATGCAGTGGAAATGCACCATTAACATACTGTACTTCCTGGTAATCACATTTTATAGTTGAGAAAGTAACACGTGTAAAGCAACACATATATATAAAGTCATGTTATTGCTAACCCTTTTAAAGATATCGTGTTCTTAGTTTCAGATGTTTAGACAATGTTCATCATGTCTGCATGATGTGACACACATGAAAAGCCCAGAAACAATCATCATATGAGGTCGTCCCTCTTCATAAAGGCTCAGGCTCACATCTGTATGAACTGTACTACTAATGCTGTACATTTAAAAATCAATGCACAAACATCTTTCATTAACCAAATGCACTTAGTCAGTCTAACGTTTTTAGTAATGCTTTGTAACACTTATGGTGACAACTTGATGAGACTTCTTAGGGCACTGGGGTTCACCAGTGAAACACTTAAAAGAGGTCAAATTAAAGATCACGTCCATTTTGGGCAGCTTGTGCCGCTTCAGGAGGATGAGTCACTCACAAACTCTGCATATTTTGGAAACCCCCCAGTTAAGCCTGATTATCTTGGAAAGACTAAGTCAAAGTCATCCGCTATTGCTGTGACCTATTAAATCTGATATCGAATTCATGATTCCAAATCCTCCAACATTTTCTGTCCTGTCATTCCTTGGCTTTTTGCCCGTGGTGGTAGATATGTGTTTGGCTGCGGTAACAAAAGCTGGATTAGAGTGGAACAGAAGAGGCTATCTCAGCGCTGTATATCATTGTCAAGACAAACAAATACTCAACAGCTGAAGAGTTTCCGTGGCCTTGAAGAGGTATCGGTTAGCTTTATCACTCTTTCAACAGTCTCTTGATAATAAAACACCTCTCAGTGGGAGATAGAGCAGACGTGCTGCTTGTCATCAAGCTTGAAAAACTCATCTTTTATCCAAGTAAGGCTGCTTCATGTCAACAACACACAGCTGAGCAATGACCTAACCACAGTGCACCCCGTATCAACGTTTCAAAACCATCCCGAGGTCCTGGATGGATTTCAAGTTTTAGGATGTGAGTGGATATATTTTGCCGATGAAACTGAAAGCTGATACGTCATTGCCAAAGACTGTTGAAATGTAACCAAGGGAGGTCTAATTGAGGTTTATATCACAGGAGACCCCTTTTTTTCTTCATAGGGAGGGGCACTACATGCTGGTTGCAGGCCAGCCTGATCCTGTTACCCATCTCTGGTGAAGCAATTGAGGTCATTGCAGGAAAAACGAGGACAGCGTGGACGTATTCCAGACTACATGCATCGACTTAACGTGGATGTTTGCATGCAGCTTTCATCTTTGATCATATTTACTGTCTGATAAAAGTGTTGCAGAGGAAGTGACAGCAACTTAACAGCGATTAAAATGGCTTTAAGAGGATTTAGGGGTTTTAGATAAAGAGCTTTCTACCAAGATGCTCTCAAGCTGAGCACAAACCATGCTTGTTTACTGACTATTTGTAGACCACCACTTAACTGGAAATCACTCAGCAGAGGTAAGGCAAGACCCTGTTTTAACAGGCTTATTATCCCTTCATATTATATCCATTTAAATTATATCCAGTATGAGGTTACAGACTGTGCAGGCTTTCAGAAAGCACCAGCAAAGAAGTCCATAAGCGACACTGGTTGGCAAAGACCCGTGGTTCTTGGTATCAGGACATTCCCGTCATTCTCTCTCTCCTGTTGGCTCCCTCACCGATTCATCTTTGTTGTGTGCAAGTGTGGGCCTACGTGCATTTGTATCTACAGTGCATGCGCTCTGATCTTGTGTCTTGCTTGTGTTTATTTCTCCCGAGCATGGGTCTAAAAATACCCTCGTGCCCTTGTGATGGTGATGGGTGTAACCAGCAGGATGCTGAGTCTCTATAACCCCAGAATCAGAGGTCTCCAGATGCAGTACGATTGCTCCTGAGTTCCTTCACTGGTAAATAAAGCAGCAGCAGGTAGGTCAGAGAGATCTTTTTAACAAGAATTTTGGAAAGTATGAGTCTGAAAATCTTTAAAAAGTGAATTTCTGCGTGTTTACTCTGCTCTGTTTGTGGTACTGTGCTGTGGAAAACAGTAGCAAATAAGGGAGCAAAATGTCTTCTTCTTCTTCTTCTTCTTCTTCTTCTTCTTCTTCGGAGTTTTATGGCAACATCTGCAATATTACATTGCGGCAACAAGCAAAATATCAAAGTATATGAATAGAAAACCTAATATTTTCTTTTTTTATTCGTGTTCAGATAACAATGATTGCATTATAGTACCAAGAGGGAAGATACTTAAGTTAAGATAATGATTAAAAAAAATAGTTTAAAAAGAAACATTACCTTAAAAAAATTTTAATTTAAAATGAAGCTCAAGCTTTTGAGTAGGGATGTACTACTGTTATTTGAGAAAGCACAATAATGCAATGAAAAAAGACATTTCTGTTCTTTTATTGAATTACATTGACACATTTATATATCTATAACTATTTACTTTTTTTTTTTTTACTCATTTATTTATTTATTCATTCATTTAAAGGTCCAGAGTGTAGGATTTCGGAGGATATATTGGCAGAAATTGAATATAATATAATATGTATTTTCCCTTAGTGTATAATCACCAAAAATAAA